TACCCTAACCTGTACCCTAACCCAAACCCTAATCCTAAACCGCACACTAACAGTAACCCATACCCTAACACATACCCTAACCTGTACCCTAGACCATACCCATTCCCTAACCCTAAACCCTACCCTAACCCTAACCTATACACTAAAACTAATCCATACCCTCACGTGTACCCTAACCCTAACCTGTTGTCGTGCCATAACCTGTACCCTAAACCGTACCCATTCCCTAACCAAAACCCTTACCCTAACCCTTACCCAAACCATACCCTAATCCTAACCCATACACTAACACTAGTCAGTACCCTAACACGTACCCTAAGCCTAACCTGTTGTCATACCCTAACATGTAACCTAAACCATACCCATTCCCTAACCCTAACCCTTACCCGTACACTAACATTAACCCATATCCTAACACATACCCTAAACCTAACCCATTGTCATACCCTAATCTGTACCCTAAACCGTACACTAACACTAAGCCATACCTTAACACGTACCCTAACCCGTTTTTGTACCCTAAACTGTACCCGTTCCCTAACACTAAACCTAACCCTAACCAGTACCCTAATCCGAACCTGTACACTAAAACTAACCCGTCTAAACCTAATCCTAATGCTAAATCTAATGGTTACCCTAACCCGTACCGTAATCCTAACCAGTACACTAACACTAATCTGTACCCTAACGCATACCCTAGCACTAACACATTGTCATACCCTAATCTGTACTCTAAACCATACCTATCCCTAACCGAAACCCTAACCCTTACCCTAACGCTATCTTATATACTAATACTAACCCTTACCCTAACCCATACCCTAACCCAAACCCATTGTTGTACCCTAAACTGTACCCTAAACCATACCCGTTCCCTAACCCAAACCCTAAACGTTATGCTAACCCGTATTCTCATCCTAACCCATACACTAACACTAACCTGTAATTTAACACGTATCCTAACCCTAAACCATTGTCATACCCTTACCTGTACCCTAAACCATATCTGTTCCCTAACCGTAACCCTTACCCTAACCATACCCTAATCCTAACCCGTACACTAATACTAATCCATACCCTAAGCCTAACCTGTTGTCGTACCCTAAGCTGTACCCTAAACTTTACCCATCTCTAACACTAACCCTAAGCCTAATCCTAAACCATACACTAACCCATCCCCTAACATGTACACTAACTCATCAGACCCTAACCTGTACCCTAAAGAGTACCCATTCCCCAACCCTAATCCTAACCCGTACACTAACCCATACCCTAACACATACCCTAAGCCTAACTCATTGTGGTACCCTAACCTGTACCCTAAACTGTACCCGTTTCATAACCTTAACCCTAACCCTATTCTTGCCCTAACCCGTACTCTAATCCTAATCCGTACACTAACACTATCCCATACCCTAACATGTACGCTAACTCTAAACCGTTGTTGTATCCTACTGTACCCTAAACCATACCCATTCCCTAACCCTAACCCCTACCCTAACGGTAACCTGTTGTCATATCTTAACCCTAACCTAATCCATACCCTAATCCTAACCTGTACACTAACACTAGCCTAACCTGTACCCTAAACCATACCCATTCCCTAACCCTCACCCTAAGCTTACCCTAACCCGTAACCTAATCCTAACCCATACACTAACCCATACCCTAACCCATACCCTAACCTGTAACCTAAACTGTACCCATTCACTAACCGTAACTGTTACCCTAATCCTTACCCTAACTGGTACCCTAACCTGTTGTACTCTAACCTGTACCCTAAACCATTCCCATTCCCTACCCTAACCATTACGCTAACCTGTACCTGAAATCTAACCAGTACGCTAACACTAACCCATACCGTAACACCTACCCTAACCCATTGTCATACCCTAAACTGTAACCTAAGCCATACCCGTTCCCTAACACTAACGCTAACCCTAACCTTAACCTAACCCGTACACTAACCTGTACCCTGACACGTACCCTAACCCGTCGTACCCTAACCTGTACCCTAAAGCGTACCCATCCCCAATCCTAACCCTAATCTTAATCTAACCCATCCCCTAATCCTAACCCATACACTAACACTAACCTGTACCCTAACACGTGCCCTAATCCTAACTCATTGTGGTACCCTAACCAGTACCCTAAACTGTGCCTATTCCCTAACCCGTACACTAACACTAACCTGTACCCTAACACGTACCCTAAGTGTAACCCGTTGTCGTACCCTAACCTGGACCCTAAACCATACCCGTTCTCTAACACTAATCCTAACGCTAACCCTTAACCTAACTTGTATCCTAATTGTAACCAGTACACTAACGCTAACCCATACTGTAACACATACCCTAACCCTAAACTGTTGTCGTATGGTAACCTCTACCTTAAACCATACCCGTTCCCTAACCCTTACCTTAACCCGTACCCTAACACTAACCTGTAACCTAAAACGTACTGTAACCCTAACCCATTGTCGTACCCTAAATGGTACCCTACACCATACCCATTCCCTAAGCCTAATCCTAATTCTAATCCTTACCCTAACCCGTACACTAACACTAACCCGTACCCTAACCCTAAACAATTCTTGTACCCTAACCTGTACCCTAAACCGTACCTGTTCCATAACCCTTACCCTAATCCTTACTGCAACCCGTACCTTAATACTAATTCATACACTAACATGTACCCTAACAGTACCCTAAACCTAACCCATTGTCGTACCCTAACCTGTACCCTAAACTGAGCCCGATCCCTAACCCTAACCGTTACTCTAATCCCTAACCTAATACTAACCCATACCTTAACACGTACCCTAACCTGTTGTCCTACACTAACCTGCACCCTAAACTGTACCCATTCTCTAACCCTAACCACACCCTGATACTAACCTGTACACTAACACGAATCCATAACCTAGTAAGTACACTAAGCCTAACCCGTTATCTTACCCTAACCTGTACCTAAACCGTACCCGATCCCTAACCCTTACCCTAACCTATGCACTAATCCTAATCTGTACACCAAAACTAACCCGTACCCTAACAAATACCCTAACCCTAACCCATTGTTGTACACTAACCTGTACCCTAAACTCTACCCGTTCCCTAATCCTAACCATAACCCTTACCCAAACTGTACCCTAATCCTAACCCGTACACTAACACTAACCCTAACACGTACCCTAACCCACATCATACCCTAACCTGTACCCTAAACCATACCCATTCCCTAACCCTTACCCTAACCTGTACCCTAATCCTAACACATACACTAACACTAACCCGTAACCTAACATATACCCTAATCCTAACCTGTTGTCGTAGCCTAACCTGTACCCTAAACCGTACCCGTTCCCTACACTAAACCTAACCCTTACCCTAACACTAACCCGTATCCTAAAACGTATCCTAATCCTAATCCATTGTCGTACCCTAAACTGTACCCTACACCATACCCATTCCCTAACCTTACCCTAAGCCGTAACCTAATCCTAACCCGTACGCAACACTAACCCCTACCCTAACACATACCCTATCCCTAACCCAATGTCGTACCCTAACCTGTACCCTAAACCGCACACGTTCCGTAACCCTAACCCTTACCCTAACCAGTACCCTAATACTAACCCGTCCACTACCACTATTCCATACCCTAACACGTACCCTAAACCTCACCTGTACTCATACCCTAACCCGTACCATAATCCTAACCCGTACACTAACACTAACCCATAGCTTAACACGTACCCTAACTCTAACCCGTTTTCATACCCTAACTAGTAACCTAAACCTTACCCATTCCCTAACCCTAACCATAATCCTAACCCTTACCCTAACCCGGACCCTAATCCATATCCCTTCCGTAACACTAACCCGAACCCAGACCCTAACGTATACCCTAACCTGTATGCTAACCCATACCCAAACACGTACCCTAACCCTAACCCATTGTCGTACCGTAAACGGTACCCTAAACTGTACCCGTTCCCTAACCCTCTCAACCTAACCCTTACCCTAATCCTAACCCGTACACTAAAACTATCCCATACCCTAACACATATCCTAACTCTCACCCGTTGTCATACCCATTCCCTGGCCCTAACCCTAAATTTAATCCTTACCGTAACCCTTACCCTAACCCGTACCCTAATCGTAACCCGTACACTAAAACTAACCCATACCCTAACCCTAACCTGTTGTCGTACCCTAAGCTGTACCTTAAACCGTACCCATTCCCTATCCCTAACCCTTATCCTAACCCATAACTTAATACTAACCCATACCTTAAAACGTATCCTAACCCGTTGTCATACCCTAAACTGTACCCTAAACAGTACCTGATCCCTAACACTAGCCCTAACCCTTACGACCCTTAACCTACTCCGTACCCTAATCCTAACCCATACACTAACATTAACCCATTTCCTAAAATGTACCCTAATGCTATTCCGTTTTCGTACCCTAACCTGCACCCTAAACTGTACCCATTCTCTAACCCTTACTCTAAATCTAATCCTTATCCTAACCCTTACCCTAACTGGTACCCTAATCCTAGCCCGTAAAACAAC